GATGCTCGTCATATCCGGTACCATTTTTCCTGCGAGAGAGAATCGGCCGTCTACCCTTTTCGCGCGTCGCACTTGGCAGCGGCCAACAATTGCAGTTTTTCGCTGCAACCTCTTTTCTTTTTTCTCTCCTGCGTCAACCCTTGCCCCTCTGTGTCAAAGCACTTCGTCAATCACCTGTCCGTTGCACGCGCGGGCATAGTTCGTAAGCTTCTGGAACTTGGACGATACCGAAGGTCTCATCAATTTACGACATCCGGCCAGCGAAGAGAAATTAATTTTCCGAATTAATCTTTCGAACTCGTTGTTTCGAACTTCGGTAGGAATAAAATCGAATAAAAAAAAAAAAAAAAAAAAAAAAAACATAAAATTGAGAATTACAAGAAGGAAAAAAATAATGAAGGAAAATATAACATAAATGTAGTGAGATAATGAAAGGAATAGTAAATGGAAAATATAGAAGTGCGAGTATGATTCTTTTCTCTGTTTTTTTTTCAATTAACAAAGAATATTGGATAATATGAATGACGTGGCAGAGATCTCGTTTCCTACGAAACGTGAAATAGAGCCTAACGATAGTTTTCGATGTAATACGAGTAGCTTTCCTACTCATCCACCGCAGAGAAATAAAATTAACTCGGCATCCCACGAGTATTGCGAGTCGTAGGTGTTCTTTAAAACGCGTGTATTCCTGATAGAGGAAACAAATGCATACGGTTGTATACAGTTGCCCGTAAGGAGCATTAACGGAAGCTACGTACGTACGTTTCATTGAAAGTAAAACGATCGTTTCTTCGAATAGAAAAACGCTTGCGATAAATTGAATTCAAAAAGAAAAAGAAACAGGAAAGGAGAAGAAAAAAAGATTAATTAAGAAACAAAATTAATTTCCTTGATCTCTATTCCGTTTCTAAAAAAAAAAAAAAAAAAGAAAGAAAGAAGCATAAATAATAATTTTTCATTCGGACAATACGTTTTTTCGTCTCGAAAAAAAATTTCCCCCTCTCCCCAAAAAAAGAACAAGAAAAGAAAGAAGCCGAGTGATAATTTTCAATTTCCATCCCCCACGTTCTCTCTCGTCTTCTTCGATTTAAAAAACGAAAGAATAAAGGAATAAAAAAATTCGATCGAGAAGAAAAAAAAAAAAAGAAAAAAAGGAAAAAAGAGGAGAAAAATTTCGATTTTTCGATCGTGAAAACGGAAAGGAGAATGAAAATCGTGGGGGTTGCAGAAGTGGTTTTGCCGCGTGTGTATCGATTGGGGACGCGGTTCGCCCAGGAGACTAGCCTACATTCTAGCCCCCCTTTTCCTTCGCCCTTCTCTACGGCCAACTTGCGTTTCCCCCTTCCCCGTGCCGCAGCCGGTCCCCCTTTTGCACCCCACGCCCCAACCTCGAGTCCTCATTCAACATTCCCGTCCTCTCTCCATTCCACTCCCCCTCCCCCCTCCTGCCCCTTCGTCCCTTTCTCGCTGCCTTTCAATTGCTACTCGGACACGGATGAACGAAAAAGAGAGGGGCAGACGCAGACGTTGCTGGGGAGGGGGAAGGGTTGAAACGAAAGAATCGAGAGGTATGTATACATGTATAATATATATATATTTTGTGTGTGTGTGTGTGTGTGTGTGTGTGTGTGTACGAATGGAATGGAACTGGAAAGAAGCGTACATAAGCTTCTTTTATGGGCGGGGGTTGAATGAAGGGGGTTCGGGGAAGGAATTGGGACAACGTGGATCGATGGTAAGGGTTGTTGATCGATTGTTGTTGTGAGCTCGAGTTACTTTTTTTCTCTTTTCTTTCTTGTTTCGTTTTGTTTCGTTTCGAGGGTTTCAAACTCGAATGGAACGAAATAAGGTTCACTTTAATCTGGTTCGAATCGAAGGTTTGTAATAGGGGGTTGTCGATCGATTTTGTTCGAATGGGGCAATCGAAAGGCTTTGCAAGCTTTGTTCCGACGAGATTGGACGAAGGTTGGTTTTAAACCTTGGGATCGAGTTAGGGGAATTGAGGGATTGATTAAAGGACGAAATTAGTTATTATTTTCCTTCTGCCTTTCTGCCATTCAATACAACGCGCTATTAAAAGGAGGGAAGGCAAAATTTCGGGTGAAAATTCGTTACGAAAGGAAAGTGGATTCGAAGCGAAAAGGGAGAGGAAGTGGTAAAAATTAAAGTGTTCGATTTCTTTAATTAATAAACTTTTGCGAATAACAAACTTTTATCTTTTATCCTCGCTTTAATACCCCGATAATCTGTTTATAAATAATCCCTGCCCGACAATATCCCGTTTCACGAACCAGATCACCTAACCAAACTCAATTTTCATTATAAACAACCACGTATCGCGTTTCGAGCGTATCGAACGCGACGAGGCGAGGGGCGTACGAACACCTTCGGATAGAATTTATTTTAAAAGCGTGCCGCGCGTTGATCGATCCCCCCCCTCCTCCCTCTCCCTCTCTCTCTCTCTCTCTCTCTCTCTCTCTCTCTCTCTCTCTCTCTCCGCCTCTTTTCCGGCCCGAGTGATTTTTCGTCGTCGAACGACTTCGAAAACCGAATTAAACCCCGTTAAAATAGGTCGAGCGCGACACATCGAATCCCTCGACGCGAGAGATTGAACCGTCCCTGAACTATCCGAAAATAATAATGCGGCGCGAGAGCCCCGGCTCTCGTTTCGTTCGTTTCTCCCGGCCATTCAAGCCCTCCCCCTCCCCCCGAGGAAGGGGGGAAAAAGGCGACATCGCACCCTCGATAAAGGCGAACGATGCCTCTGGAGGAGACGCGGCGAAAGGGGGTGGAGAAGCCGAATGGAAAAGTGTGGAGGGTAAGGGAGGAGGGAGTTGAAAGTTGGCGGAGGAGAAAGAGAGGAGGCAGCCACCTCTGGCGGTGGAGGTGGTGGTGNGGTGGTGGTGGTCGGTGGCCGCGGCACCCTCCCGTTCGAAAGGGGGATGAAGGAGGAGGAGGAGGAGGAGGAGGAGGGGGGAGGCTCGTCGGTTGCAGTGTAAAAGAGGGGAAGGTGGGTCGCCTCGTATCCGTGTCACGAATGCGCGCGTCTGCACTCCACCTCGCCACCCTCCACGGCCACCGAAAGAGGTGAATGCAGTTGGCCGTCATTTTGCAACCCGTTCAGACGCCATTCAGATGCGTCGAATGCGAGTGGCCGGTGTCGCGCCACTTCCGTCTGCCCGTTAACTTTTCCACCTTTCGTTCCACCATCGAGTTTCTCATCGATCAAATTGTCAATTGCCCTTCCCCGTTGGGAAGGATCGTGTACGAAGGGGCGAGAATAAAAGAAAGAAAAGAAAGAAAAGAAAAAGATTTTCGAGCGAGTATTTTTCGGTCCAGGTATTGGTCGGTGATTATCGACAATTGGTGATAATGAGTGTTGGCCGAGAGGAGAGATTGCAGACGAGTAAGAGTAAGAAGGGCGAGTGATCGTGATATATTCTATCTTGGGAAAGGAGCGAATGGTAGAAAGAGGTGCGAGACCAGAGTTTTAATTCGTAATTAGTAGACGATATTAGTCGGGGAAAAAAACGTGAGAGAGTCACTCTGCACGTGATCGTGACAGTTTGGTCGAGAAGAAATATAATTTGGCGAGGGAGGGAGGGGGGGAATAGAAGAATAGAATGAGAGGAAGGTGTAGAAGATCGAGTAGAAGTTGAGAGGGGTCTCACGCGTGTGCACGCGTGGGGCCGATGGTCGACTACTCGTAACGAGACGCCTACGACGAAGGGTGAATCGACACACCGAGATCTCTGAATGGACCGTTGGAGTGGTGTTCGTCCCTCCTTCAAACGAACCGGAACGATGAATTTTTCAAGGATCCGCGAGAGACGCGAGACGAGTAACGCGATTCTCATCGAGAAACGAACTGACGACTCCTTTACTCTCTGCACTTAAAGGTGAGCTAAAGATGTTTGCTCCACGATTTTCGAGGCGCTGAATGCGCTGATTTCGACCGATTTGTTTTATCCTACAAAGTATTTTGAGAAATCTATTTCTTGGAAATTCACTCGAGTTTATTATTATTACGATGCGCTAGAGCTCCTTCTGAAATTATGAATTTAGAAAAATTCCTATGCAAAATAATCGATTTATTAATGTTATACATTTCTTGATAATCGCTATTTGATTTAGGATAACAAAATTATTGAAAATCTATTTCTTGGAAATTCACTCGAGTTTATTATTATTACGATGCGCTAGAGTTCCTTCTGAAATTATGAATTTAGAAAAATTCGTACGCAAAATAATCGATTTATTAATATTCGCGTGACTATAGTTATACATTTCTTGATAATTTGATCTAGGATAACAAAATTATTGAAGATCTATTTCTTGGAAATTTACTCGAGTTTATTACGATGCACTAGAACTCCTTCTGAATTTAGAAAAATAATCGATCGATTAATAATATTCGTGTGAAGCAGAGTTTTGTTGTAGGTAGTTATAAATTTCTTGATAATCGCGATTAAGAATAACAAAATTATTGAAATTTACGTTCGCGTGCTAGAAACGTTTTAATTAGCCGAATCAGGAGTACGATCACGTAGATTTCCTATGAGTCATTCTATCATGAGACAACCAACCTATTCCGCCGAGAAATCGATTCGGCATAATTTAATCTACTTGAACGCGGTTAACTCTCATCGTCTGTCGTTAAAAATGCAATTGCATTTTTCGACGACACCAAATTATCGATCCGAAAAATTATATATTCGAATCACGAACAGCTTATCTTTAATTTCAACATCGCTCGTCGTTAATTATTCGCAAATTATTATCCAAACATTCGTTTCATTTTCGAAGAATTGCAGGTGCGAGAAAGGAAGCGAGAGACAAGGAGCGGAAGGTGGTGGAGCACGTGTTTAAGCGGATAAGCGGGGAGAAAATTTCCGTGGGTGTATCCCCTGTTTCCCTTCTTCTGCTTTCCAACGTGTTTCCAAAGGTTTTTGAAAGAAGAAGAAGAAGAAGACTGACCGGGAATATATCAAGGTACTGGTTAAAGTGATTATGTTTATCGCCCTTAGATACCGTCTCCACGGCTTCCCTTCACGCCCACGCCTTCGAAAATAACTTCTCCTCCTCGGTAAACTCTTCGCAATTTTCTCTCAGATTTTTTTCTTTTCCCGCTCTCGTTGTTAAATCACGACCTCGTTCAAACTGATATTCGAATTCGTTTCGTGAACTTTATTAATTGAACGGTACAACAGACTTGCCAATAATAAAACTAGTGAAAAACTAGTGGAAAACTGTTCACTTTTGATTGAAAATGATTCAAATAAGAGAAATTTCAAAGAGGCCATGATTTGATTAGATCTTTTTTGTAAATGCAATAAAAAAATCGATACAGTTTGATTATTTTTATCGAGGAAAAATTATTAAAAGATATTTAAAAAAATCATTGGTTTAAAGGATATTGTAAAGTTCGTAAAACCTGCAACATCTTCCAAACTAATGATTTTTCGACGTAAATAGATCAACACTTTTCTCGATTGCTATAATTAAAACAATGTAATTTTATTTAAAGAAAAAAAAAAAAAAAAAAAAAAAAAAACCTTCGTACATCTACTTCTTGATCGAATCATTTTCTCACACAATATGATAATAATTTTCCACCACTTTTACATTTACATTTTATTTATCTAAATTGAAAAAAGAAAAAAAGAAAAAAAATAGAAAATCCATAAGACGATTATTGAAATTGAAACGGAACGTCGAAACGAAAGATTGTTTTTTTTTTTTTTTAAAGAAGGATCGATGGAAAGGTTGGATGCACAGTTTTTTCAAAAGCGCTTTATCAGCGGTGGTCGCGAGGACCGTACGCGGCCAATGACTCACGATGAATAACGAAGGCTTTATAGTAAATGTTAAACGAGTTTTCATTGAGCGATACGCGTATCCATGTGGATGGATAAAATTCCTTTGACTGACGATTTATCGCGCTACGATAATTATAGGACGATTCATTTCTTTTTTCTTCTTTTTCTTCTTCTCTTGATGTCTCTGAGAGAGACATTGAAAATCACTTTTTCTTTTTTTTTTTTTTTTTTTTCTTTCAACTTTTGAATTACATGTGAATTTAATTAATTTCTTTCTCGTGAGATTAGATCCTATTTGCGAGATCGTCGAGAATATTGTAAATATTTTTTTAAACGAACAACTAAACTTTTCCTGAAACTTTCTACACAAACTTTCACGTACTACTAACTTTTCTTTCCCATCCGAATAAAATATCAAAAATAATCTTGCATAAATTTATACGATCCGATTCCAAAAGATTTTATTCAAAAAAAAAAAATTCCATGTCTTTTAGCCGTATTTCTCGACGAAAAAAAAAAAAAAGGAGAGAGAGAAAAAAGAAACCCTCGAAAGACGTGTCTCGATACCACCCACGCGTTTCTCGTTCGAATCGACGGTACACAATTTTACGCAAGTGCGTGTCTGGCTGCGTGCGCCCTGCGAAAGCTCGCAAGCCCCCTCCGAAGGGTGAATGGAGCCTCTAATTTAGTCGGTGCCACGACCTCCCTACGATTCGTACGAATCCACGCTCCCGTACACTCGTCAAACTTTGTCTTTTTTTTCGTCGACAATTTTTTTTTCTTTTTCTTTTTCTCTTTCTTTTTCTTTCCCTTCCAGTGCTTCGATCCAGTGTTCTCGTCGATTTTTTCTCTCGAGTTTTCAATTTTTTTTTTTCTACCAAGTTCTAATATATTCCGATACCCCCCAATCAATTAAATTGGAATCAGAGTGAATCTCGATGAATCTTGAACTACGGAATGTGTGGTAAAGTGGTTTGGTTCAAAATTTTGAGTCAAAACTTGGGTGAAAAATTTGATCGATCTCCCCGCCGATAATTTTCTTTCTTCTCGCCCATGGTGCTTCCATCGATCCATTCAATGTGCAATTTTAAAAGTTAAACTTGCCTTCCTAATATTCTTTCTTTCATTCTCGTGATTTTACGATATTCGAGTCATCATTTACGGTGATTTAATAAAACGATTGAAATCGAATACCATACTCAACACCTTGGAACACGGTGAAGTTTAATCGAACTATTGAACAATCCAAAATTGATTTAAATATTGCTAAAAGAAAATAATCTAATATCCACGAGAATAATATATTATCGACTGTATTAAAAATCTAAAAAAAACACTAAAGTTACTCGATGATTTCATAGATGAGTATTATTAAATTTAAAAAATTTCGTTTTTTATAATTAACTTATACGTGTATACGATTTAATTTCGATTTGGAAATATTCGACACGCGCCATCACACGTAACGTACTTATCTAAAATAGATTCTTTCTTTTTTTAACAATGCTGTTAAAACTACCACTCTCGAGCATACGAGCAATCGTGGTGACACGAGGACACGACGAGGTATCTCAACCTCGACAGATATCGTGAGAATTGGCTTCGTTCGGAGGCCCTCGATTAATTCAACGAATCCATTGGATAAACGCAGAGAGCGGATCGAAAATTCGGTTGAAAGCTGGATTATTGATTTTTCAGCCGGTTGTTCGGCAACAATGACAGTCGGTCAGCATTGTTGAGCATGAGGCATCGGTAGGCAGCTTCAGGGAGTTCGTTGAACGTTAGCTTCGAAGAATACGGGGTATTGTGTAATATGAGTAATTGTTGCAGCATGTGACTGGTCACTGGTTGAGTCAATTAGAGGAAAGAGAAAGAGAGAGAAAAAAGAAAGTGTTTAAAAGTTTGAAAAGAGAAAGAAGTGACAATGACGAAAGCTCGAAACATTTGACTCATAAGTAAGGAAAAAAGATTTATTTAAAAAAAAAAAAAAAACCGTATTCAACAAACTTTCGTTTATAAAAAATGAAACATCGATGACCGGAAGAATATATTAAGTTGGAATAAAATTTTAAGACAAAAGAGAAAAGAAACGGTATAGCGTTGTAATTTTCCTTACGCAAGGAAAGGTATAAAATTATAAACAGAGCGATTCGACAGAGCGAATATTGGATGTCGGCCGTATGGCAGGGATGAATGGGCAACATCCGGTTTTCTGATTCACCAAGATATTCTTGAGAAATGCGTAAGACACACGCCTAGACGTTTGCTCGATCCAATATTGTCTTAACTGATGGATAATTGATAAAATCGAACCGCTTTCGCCTTTTAACATGAGAGAAAAATAACCGTTTTGCATCATTTAATCTCATCGCTACGAGATAAACGAAGATTGTTTCATCATTGGTTACAAATCGATCGATCGATGTATTTGTATTTGTAAAAAAAAAAAAAAAAAAAAAAAAAGAAAAAGAAAAAAAAGAATCGAGGAACGATCATTTACAAACTTTTTATCGTTCACGGATGGAAAAGTATAGTACAGATGCAAACATGAGACAGTGTTTCGACGGAGTTTTAGTACACGGTAATACAAATCTGAATATTTTTCATTATTCTTATTTTCTTCGTGAGAGAATTTAATTTTACAGCGTACTATAAAGTGATTCATCCCCGGGATGCGTCAGCGTATCAGAAAAATATTTCTTTTGATGTTGACCACCATGACGAATATCCATGACCCATAAATACTCTTAGGGAGATATGTTTACGTTTTTCTTTGCCGTTATTTATTCATAAATTGAGGTTCTATTGATCTAATGATACAACGAGAGTAAAAATAAGTCATATTTTTTTTTTTCTTCCGTTCTTCGAGATAAATTGTAGAAATGAATTTTGTGAAAAGATAATTCATTTTCATAAATTGTTGAATAAAGTCTCCCTATTATTAATGCGTCGAAAAAAAATGCTATTATCGGAAGTGAACACGATACCGACCATGTGAGAACGCATCAAACGGATCAAAATAATGTGTATTCGTGTCCTAGTCAAGATGGAACGCAATGCTTCTCGCTCGATCTCAATAGGCAAACGTAAAACTTGATTCCGAATGCACTTTACTATCATTAGATGCACGTGCTTCGCTTTCATTCACCTTGAGTTTCTCCCGCCAAATTCCCAACACCGCTGGTAAACCGTCCATGTGATTGGCTGATGTTTGCGTGCGGCTCGTCACTGATTGGCCGATATTTCCTCCCGTATGTAACCGAGTGCAAGGCCGAAGGGAACCGAAGCCCAGGTCAGGGTACACGAGCGACGTCTTCGGCAGTTCGAACGAGAAGCTTGCGCAGTGGAGATCGTTCGGTCTCTATTAACGATATCAACATGGCTGTTTATATGTTCGTGCAGCCGCTATTTTCAAATCGCGATTCATACATTATTTTAAATCGTATCATCCTCGTGTTCCTTCTATATTTGTTTCTAACAACAGGTATCGATCAAATTTTTTTTTTTGGAAATTTCTTTTTTATTTATACGAATATCGCGACTTCCTCGATACGTATGTATTAGTCCTGTATACACAGTTGGAAAACAGGATGTAGTTTATTCGTGTTCCTCCACTTTCGTGTTTGTGTATAAATGGAAGTACATGTATACAGACGGTGACCGTTGCACGATTGTGTCAGTGACTGGAACGATGTCTATTCATCTACTTGTCACATGCAGTTCTCTCATTGGTGTATAGTCTATCTCCTCGTTGCCTTGTCATCCTTCCCTACTTTAGAATCTATTTTGTACTCCGTTCATAAAATTAACACGATGTTTACTTCCTGTATAACGGCACAAAAGTCGGAAGGAATGATTTCCGAACATTTCTTTGTAAAGATTGAAAAAATTCAGATTAACGTTAAGTGGAATGTGTCATTACTAATTGACAGGTGGCATGAAATTATGGAAAAGTGTTCGATATTGCGTTAATAAAAGAAAAACGTAGAACGTTGTTCTTTTGATAAAAGTTTGACTTATCGCGTGTGCTTCCACGCATAACATTGCGTAAATACTATATATGTTATGACATTTTAAAAATATTGCTTGTTACTATCAAGATAAGCGAAAATTACTATGTGAATGTACAAAATATAGTATTTTATTGATGGATATCTAACTTAATAACATTACATAGAAACTGAGATATAAAATATTCCTTATAAATCGATTAAATTATTTTTAATGTATTGACGTTAAATCTTAAGTACATTTAAGATAATATAAAGTACTATATTGATATTAAATCTTAGTACACTCAAGATAATATAATTGTTGTGATATTGAATGATTAAAAAAAATTTGACCTTTCTTTTTTGCAGGAGGAACAAGTACTCCTTTAACTAATCACTATGTGAATGATGCAAATTATTATGAAATCTCAAGCAATGATGACAATTCAAGTCCCTTGGAGAAATTTTACTTAATTACTGGACAAAGGTGGCACACAGATACTGTGCTACCTATTCCTTTATTACCATCTACAGAGGGAATGTCTGCTCGATCTCATCACAGGTAAATGTTTAGACTTCTTATTTGATGTATATATTTATCAATTTATAGAAATATCATTAATTTATATAGAAATGAATTTGATATCAATTTAAGATATCAACTTTTTATACATAGAATCCCACAGTCCATAACGGGACTGGATGATGCTGGAATGGATTTGCAAGCAGCTCAACTCAGTACCCGCACAGGACAGGAGGTACGTTCCACTGCAACCTTATCATGGCTAGACTGGCAATTGCCCCTGTTTGTAGCAGTTTGCGCCATCGGTGGCGTCATTCTCTTTACATTTCTGGTAAGATTTTTCTCAAATTTCATTTTCGCGTTATCCAATATATTTATCTGAATAAGATATTAATTTTCCAAATTCTATTTATAGATTTTGTTATGGCTGCGGAAACAAATGTCGCGTGAAAAAGATACCGAAGATGGTGATAGGAGAGGTTTGGTAGAAGAAGGTGCTGTAGGTCACCCGGAAAAATCTGTAAAACCTTCAAAAGGATCGATTGAATGGGTTCATCAACCCGCAACGAAATCATCAATTCAATCTGTTCCTACTCGACCTCTTACGCAACCCATTGGTTTACCAGAAGTATGATTATTAACTGATCAAAATGATACAATTATTTATTGAAATAATGATTATAAAATTAATGAATTTTTATTTATTTTATTAGGTAATGTCAGTAGCAACTCCAGAACGCAGACCGGAACCGATACGCATAAGGACTAAAGGATTGTTAGAACGACGTGGATCAAGCGCAAGTTTGACTATAGAATTGGCACCACCTCCAGAAAGTCCACCTCATATTGTTACACCTACTCGTGAATGTACTGCAGAGGAATTTCTATTAAGCGCTGGAAACGTTTTATCAAGAGCTCAACTTAGAAAGGCAATCAGTGACACGGCATCGTTACATAAAGAATTTTGGGAAGTTCCTCTTAATTTACCCGAGAAATTAGATATATGTGGATCTGGGGTGAAGAATAGATATTGTTCCGTATTACCAAATCCACAATCAAGAGTGATTTTACCAGGTCCTTCTGATGATCCTCTTTCGAGTTATATTAATGCCAATTATATTCGGGTATGTTTAAGAGGAAAAGAACTAAAAAATTAAAAATTTCGCATTATTATCTTTATCCTATCTAAATCTATTTTAATCTAACAGGGATATGATGGAGAAGATGCACGCTATATTGCAACACAGGGACCATTAGCTCACACTGTGGATGATTTTTGGAAAATGGTCTGGGCAGAAAAAGTACCCGCGATAGTTATGATGACGAAACTATATGAAGCCGCCAAAACAAAATGCGAAGCATATTTTCCATTGGATAAAAATAATCGCATACAGGCTGGACTGTTTACAATTATTGTTATTTCTATTGATACAAGAGAAGGATACACGATTAGAGATTTGGAACTTCGATATGAAGGCGAAAGAAAGCATGTGCAGCATTACTGGTAATTACATTAAAATCTTTATTCTTTTTGAGTCATATTATTGGATTATTTAATATATGATTAATAAACAATTATAGGTATGATTCATGGCCGGATCATGCCGTACCTCAAACAGCGGATACCCTTGTTAGTTTAGCTGCAGAAGTAAATTCTTTACCAGGTCCGGTCGTTGTTCATTGTAGTGCTGGAATTGGACGAACTGGCTGTTTCATAGCTTTAGCTACGGGAATGACGCAGTTATTACGAGATGGGAATGTAGATGTATTGGGTATTTTATGCCAAATGAGGTATAAAATATTTATTTGATGAACTAAAATTTATAACTTATTTAAATTTTAATGTCTTAAAATTTTTTTTTAGATATGACAGAGGTGGTATGGTTCAGACAGCAGAACAATATGAATTCGTTCATCGTGCACTTTGTCTGTATGAACAGACACTTGAAGGTGGTAAATCATCAAGTTCAGGTGATTGAAATTACAAACAAAGTGATTATGGGAATTGATAAAAGTTCAGTAGAAGAAAAAGAATTGGTCTTAGAATTATTATATGAAAAGATTTACGAAATGAATATGGTCTGCAACATATTATTAACGTCCGGGTGTGAACATTTGTACTATGGAGGAAATCCTATGAAAAGAATCTCGATTTCAATTCTAGACCAGCGGATGTCTTATTCGATCTTCAGCTATTCAAGATGAGTTTTATCTCATTAAATAAGCTGCCATTTCTATACTGCCATGACAAATCGTTGACAATTAATATCAGTCACAAAGCTCAAGATAAAGGTAAATGATTATTGACTCATGTTCTAAAGAGTTCTACATTATTCTTAAACGGAATTAAAACTGTTTGACAAATGGGGGAAAAAAAAAAAAAAAAGAAAAAGAAAAAGAAAAAAAGAAAAAAAAAATACTTCAATTTGACTCGCGAGATATCAGGGTTTGTCAAAGTATTGATTCAGATTTTTATGCATTCTCTGTGTGTTATAAATTAGATTTGTTAGTTATAAACATTTGCATCTATGATATTCTCAGAGTCCTATTCTTTCTACATTATGAGCAGTTCTTACTTAGCTTTCCAGTACAGTAAACTATTACAAAACTAATGTTGCTGTCTACTATACAATTACAAAAATAATAACATTAATAGTTATAATTATTTCAAAATAAAATCTTAAATACACAGAAGGGCAAATAATTATAAAATTGGGACCCAGTTTAATTAAAAAATTTTTATCCTATTTGTAGTTCCTAGTTAATTTTACAGTAAAATGTACACACAATGATTTTTTCCATGATTTTTAATTAATTTATCAATAAAGACTGAATGCAGGTAGTACAATACGTTTATTATATATTATAAGTTATAAATTTAATTAGAAATATTATGCTTCTCTGATACAAAGCAAAATTTATGATGTTATAAGATTGTAAAAAATATAATCTTATTTGAAAAAAAAGAAGAAAAAAGATAAATTGTAGAATGAGTTTGTTAAGTTTTAAAGCAAACTATTCATTATATAGCAAAAATAAAGTTGTTATAGCATTCTTTCCAAGTATTATGTATATACAAAGCTATGATTATTTATTTTCTTTACTGTACTTTGAGTATGAATTAATATTTAATAAAATTCCAATATAATGCCTTGAATTAATGATGATTCAAAAGAATTTTTGATTGTTTTTTTTTTTTTTTTGATAATGATCAATTTTTTTGGTTGAATATTAATCTATAATTGACAATAAGTGTGATTTATGAGCTTTTAGGATTTGATATAAATTTATTAACAAAAATGGCAATAGTTTGAACAGCAATGTTCAATTCTCTGCATAGAATTATTATTCAATTTTGACATAATAATACCAAAGTTATTAATATTCATTAATATTATATACTATAATGAGATATATTGCAGACTTTATAAGATTTATGATTAATAATTGAAATTATGAAAGTTTGATTTATTTTTTTTATAATTAATTCTCACTGAATTCCAATTTAAATTATTATTCCATTAGGTTATGTATTTCGATTTCAGATTGTTTTGAATAATTTTCACAATTTGTGGATATGTTGTAATTAAAAATTTAGCTTCATGTTATTTCAAAAACATAATTAATTTGTTCATCGAACGTGTTATAACATCACCATTCAAATTATTGATATAATGTTTTAGAATTCTTCAGTCTTGTAAACGAACAGTGTGAACGTGTATTTTTGAGCGAAAGATTGTGATATGTATACATATATAATATATAATATATATATATATATATATATATATATATATATACTTGTACATATGTTGTACAGAGAGCAAAATATATTTAAGAGATTATGTATTTGTGTAAGTGCAAATTGAGAGTATATTATTTATGAGTATAAAAGCCTTAAGCAACTTTAATGTAAACGTATTAATAACGTAACAATAACAATAATAATTATTTAGAAACCCTTTGGTGTTCAATTGTACTTATGTGACGTAATAAATGTTTATAGTACCCATGCAATGTTTACGTGTACTTTTTTAGGAAGTGGAGTACTATCGCGATTATGTTTATTAAATTTCCTTTGTGAAAAATTATTATTTATAATAATTTTGTAAAACATGATTTTGTTTTTTATTTATTAAAATTTGTATATTTTATAAATTTGTTTTTTTATTTTTAAAAATAAAAACTAACCGTTAAATTTGAATTATTAATCCGCCATTTTGATTAAAATATTCAATTCTTTCAAACATAAATTCGTATAGAAACTATTATTAAACGTATGCATTATGTACTATAAAAAAAATTTATATAGTGTATATGTATCATAAAAATTGTATTAATATATTTTCCTTATATATTATCTGCTTAATATTTTATAGATTATAAGATATGAAATGTATATACGAATATGTTACGATCTATATTATAATTTAAGAAATAGTATTAATTATTATTTATTAAGAATAAAATTCTATTTTTATAATTGATGAAATTTTTTTTTCATTCTAGCAATCCTAGTATATTGTGTATTAATGAAGAAATTATGTATCTTAAACATCAATTATTTATCTAAATATATCTAAATACGAAAAATATTAAAAAGAAATATTAATAACTTACATTTCTCGAAATTCGTACAACTGAAGACGCAACTGAAAAACACTTCCATTTCATGTAGAATATTCATATCATTTTCGAAATAAGAATTCCGATCTGCTATGTCCATTGATTTCGTTTTACCGCGCAAAATACAGTTCGGTGTCGCCATCTTGAAATTACTTTGACGATGATATTCAAGATTTCACTTACGCTTTAAAAGTTTCGTAGTCATCATAACGTTTTGATAAACACAAACTGTAATGATACTATAAACAGTCAACAATTATCACAATGGAAAATTGCACAAATATGTCTTTATAAAATCACAACATATTTTCACGAGAGATTGTCAATGCGCGCTTCTTTCAAACTTCGTCCGGAGGAGACTGATGTGCGTCACGTGATCAACTTGTTCTCGGCGCGACATACACGGGGCGTGTTTGCATGTATTACGATTCGTGCGCGTGTAGTGTCGGCGGACGGAACTCAAGTTTAGTCCGCGCCTCGGGATTCGACACGGCTCCTGGGTGTACGAGCCAACAGTGAAATAACGTAGAAATCGTTTTAACAAGTAGAAGAAAAACATACAAAGACGATATACAAGTTCATTTAAGTGGTGCGTTTATTTCTTTTGGATACGGAACGGATAATCTTTTTTTCTTTGCAATGTTCTCATTGTTGCCGTTCATCGTGCCGATTCTCGACGGTGATCGTTCGTAGATCGTGTCGCTGCACTCGAAGGTATAAGAAAACATACAGTGACGATACGGAAAAAGTATTGTTTGTGAACTTATCTCGTTCGGTGGAATTTCAAAAGAAAAACACGGTTAAAAAAGACAGAAAGTGCACCGTGAAATCGTGAAGAGACAGAAAGAGAAAGAGAGAGAGAGGGAAACGGAAGAGAGTTACATTAAACGTCGCGTACTATGTGGGACGTCGCGTCGAGTGACATTCTAGCCTGGAGACAAAATGGGGCCCGTTGATCGGGCCCGGAAGATCTCAGGGGTCCGATTATCAACGGAGGTATGGATGTCATCGGGGACGGGGACGAGCAAACCCTCCAGGCGATTCTCGGTGAGTACAAGCATTTCATTACATTCGTTTTGTACTATAATATAATCGAAACCGCTAGCAGAACGGTTCGCGACGATTGACAAGCGTGACAGCCACGGGAATGTCGCGAATCCCTAACGTTCGCCATATACCTTGTCGTGTGCGTCGTACAAATACGTTTGGTTGCTTCGCGTTCGTCGTGCGTTGACCTTAAACGACCGAACACGTTGATCGTATATTTTCGTGTTTCAGTTTTTAGCAAAGAGATAAACAGAGTTATTCTGCTATATTTTGATCTTATCCGTTCTTTCATTTCGAATATTCTCGAGTTTAATAAGCAAATTGAATTATGATCCGACATATTCAAGTGATTGCGGGAATTTTTAAATTTTTCTCTTTTAGGGATTTTTATTATACTATATTTTATAGTGTAGACACTTTTGATTGGATCATAATAATAGTAATTTTTATAAAGATTTTATTTTTAAAATTACTTCAAGCAATTAAAGAATTAATTTTTTAACATAAAAACGATATTTTTTTTGTAAAATTATAAAAATATAGGTATTTTTAAAGACTGTTATACTAGAATTTGATTTATATTTATCTGTATAATATTTGTGCGCGTAAAATGAAACAGTTGAATTATTCATGCATTATTGATGTATAGTATCATTCACAAATCCTTTCTAAATTGCACGAATCTGAAGAATTCTATTTGTAAAATTTTTAGTTCGCTCTGATTGATCTTCAAAGGAGAGTCGTTTGCCTACGTGGATACATTTACCCTACTTTTGCCTTGACTGTGCTTCTCCCCTCCATACTCGCGGAAAAACCGCCTTCGCATACCTGTTACACGTTTAGTTCAATGTATCTTGCTGCATCATTTCTTGCTTATTCCATTGTGAATATCAGTATTATACACTAATATAAATAACTATTCTTTTAATTTCGTTTAATCTATTTATTTAAACAATTATTGCTAGAAAATAAAATAAACATATTAATAGACATTGCAGACAAGTTACTTGAATAACAGTATTTTAAACGAGATCAATTAGATTTCACGCAATCGTATTTGTATACTTATAAAATAACGGGATTTAATAATAATACATATACGTAAAATACATTACATATACGTAAAATCAAATTTGCAGTTTTAGGTTATATGTACGGATAATTAGATATTAAAAATAAAATTAAATAATATCGAATAATGAAAGATTCTAATGTGCCATTAATAGTCATCATAGGATGTGTTTTAAATATTTTTCCGCGAGTATTCACGACCTTTTCCAAATAATCGCGACCAAGATTGGTCTTTTAGATGCCGAGTGCATTCACCTGCAACGAGTGTACCATAGCATTCTTTATCTGGGTCGGAGGTTGCAATGTAATGCCCGTTTCTCTCCGTTTAACTTGATCTTTTCTCAAGCTTGCTCTCAGTGCACAAGCGTAGAACTCGTTTATCCGATTACATTGAATTATTCGTTCGTGGATAAATATGATTAGACGCGTGGAGTACAGTTAATAGTTATAACCGGTAGGTTTCATTCTATTCGTAAACTATGTATGTATCGAGTAGAGTATCTCGTGTCTTGAGCTTAAGCTGAATGGTATTAAAATCGTTTAGTTTCAAAATACAAACTATTTTTTTTGCGTTGATGTTTATTTTTTTTTCATGAAGATAATTCTCAATTTTCTTAATTTAATCATTTCAAAATAGTGACAGATTAGATAATTTTGCATGTCAATTTTTTATAATAAGATATAATAACTTGAAAGTTATATGTTGTACAAGTTATATATTTTATTGTTCTTAATTCAAAATATCAATCGTTAATAAAAATTTTATGCAAAAGATTTATTCCTAGAGGAAAAAATTGCAAAAAATACTTATCTATTTATAATCATACTTCATTATATTTAATGATTTACGTTTGGCTCTAATAATAATCTAACAATATCCATGCGATCTATTCGAAGGTTCGACTTGGAAAATCGTGAGAAAAGAAGAAAGAGAAAAAGAATTGATGTTCGATCGTGGTGATCCACTGGATGAATCGTAATCTCTCAAATATTACCGCAATTCCATTGGTCTTTGCCAATAATTCCAGTATTCTCTAACCATGGCTAGATAGACAGTGAAAGTCGCGCAGTGAACGTGCTTTTCCGTTTATTTGAAATTAACGGCTCGATACTTGGCCGTAACCTGTGCCAATAACCAACGCGTTTTGTGCTATGAAACAAGCTTTTACATTCACTTTTCGATCATTGTTAACGGTTCATCTTCAAAGACGAATAATTTAACCTCAATCGCTCACGACCATTTTCCATATTCTGCGCATGGTAAGAATTCTTCAGAAAAGTTAGGTTATATTCACGTTTCTTTTCAAATAATTACGTTTTCAAATAATAACGTTTAGTAACATTTAGTTTTTTTTTGTTATTGTTTAATTAGACTTTTATCAAGAAAGAAGTTTATATTTATTAACTTACTATCCTTCTTTTTAAATTGAAGAGTTTTCAAATGACAAGATTTTTCAATCTAGGACAGTCTAAAAATTTTCTTTTAAAATTCAACAATCATTATCATTATTTAATCCTTACGGTTCAATATCCAAATTATTTTCGACTGAGTCGAGTTGCTAATTAAAAATTATATAAATTTGGACTTAAATATTATATTCGAAAAGTTAACATATTATTCCAATTACCAAATGATCTTTTCTTCAACAATTTCAAAGATAATGATTTTTGATTATAAATTTTCTCACATAAGTTGAAGAGTTTTCACGATTTAACGGTCAACATGTAGATCTCGAACCAAAGATCTTTTTCGCGACGATAATCGTGAAAGCCTTCGAGCTTGCTGAGAAAGAGAAGCAGGAGTGTCTAACGAAATTAGTATAGTTGCGTTAAACATAACGGCATGAAACTTTCCTCGTTGCTAATTAATTCTTTCCGCGTGAAATTATGCAAGCTCATTCGATTCTTATATTGCAACCGGTAATTGATCGAATTAGTGAATTGATTTCGCGTTTATAGATCTCTCGACACAATATCTTTTTTTTGTTATTTTAACTTTTTATCACTTATTGGTAATCAAACAAAAACTTCATGACATGTATATTTACTTTGACTCTTTAAGGTTGTAGACGAGATGTCTAGTGAATTGATTTGTATCTTAATCCATGCAAATAATTAATTGCATGGATTATGCAATCTATAAATTTTTTCAATTTTTAAAATATTATATATTTTATAGATTTGGAAGGATAATAACTTTAATTAAATCTTAGTTCGTGATTCAATTTTTAGATTTTAGCTTTTTTTTTTTTGAAAATTGAAAACAATAAATAGATCATGATACATCATAATTTTGGAATTTTTTCATTTTTCTAGAAAATTAAAGCTGATGATTTTAGCTTTTAACTATCATGGATTAATTCTTGATAATTTATAAAGCATCTAAAAATTTATCTTTAATATTGATAAAAACCCGATATATTCTATGATACTCATCTAACATTATTCGCAAAAAGCAACAAAGCAACGAAAGCTTCTCCCGGACGATATATTATAAAATCAAAAGCAGTTTTCCTGATTTGTACGGTGCTTATCACCAGTCCGTGCAGAACGGCGCAACGACGCAAAATGAGCGTTAATGGCAATGTGCTCGTTCACGTGTGCACAAGCAGCCATGCATACACATACATACACACACGTGAAGTGGATGCAGCAAGCTGGGTGCACACGGTTGGACGCATGCACCTAACGTCATTGAATAGAAAAGAAAGATACGACCGGTCGGTGTGACTCTCGATCCCGTTTCCCGCCGTTTCAAAACGGTCGATTTTTCAAGTTACACGCGGTACGTGCCGTTATGAAACATTGTCTCTCACTCTGCTGCGCTGAATAGATAATCGGGTTCGTTCGACTTCAGGTAGAAACGAGTTGGCTGGATAGTTAAGTATTTATATACATCCTGGTTCTCAAGTGTAGCCACTTCTAATCATATCTTGTTTTGAAGTATAGGTTATTAAAATTATTTTTCTTTATTATTATTTTTTTTTATAAAGATTATTGCAATATGTACTACATTTATACTTATCGTGGATATCAAGTCAATTCTAATTCATCTAAGTATCTGAAATCATTTCGTCTTTTCTATATCACTTCTTATTTTAGGGTGTAGTATTTGCTTTGATTTTTTTTTATTTTTATAAACTTTTTGTTTTGTGCAAACAGTTCTATGTTAACTCATCAAGTTAAACAATTAATGTCAAAATTATTTTTGATAATTATTTTATTTCAAAAAATAATAATCTAAGTGTAATGAGATTCGAATTTACACTCGTCGTTTACATTTTGCAAAATAATGAAAATTTATCTTCGTCATCGAAGAGACTTCTACGCCTAATAGAATTTCTTTGGGATATTCTTAGAACCTTTAAGTTAGATGCAATATCTTCAAAACAGAAATTTGCCTTTCATTCAACACAATATTGTATTTTGCAATATTTTACAATAAAATTATCTTGGAAGACAAATATGAATATTATAGAAGATCGGAGAATAGCATTCTTGAATAGCTCGAAGAATAGAGAGAGAACAGAAATTATAATACGAAATATTACTTTTATCGTATATTGTCTGATTAATCATAATTACAGCAAGATCTATCTAATAAAAAGTTCGACTTCCAAGGCATTGATTTTTTATTTCTTTTTTTTTTTTTTTTTTTTTCTATAAGAAAATATCTCGAGACACACGTCGTACTTACTTATAGAGAACGCTTTACCACAAGCAATAACTGTAAACTGGCTGCTAAACGCGAGAATAAATACCGGTCTCTTCCGATTTTGTGTAACGCTTCTCTCCGATGCTAAGTCATCGAAGATGTTTGCTTCTCGTTCTAAACGAAAATCCTTAAAGGAAGGAAGAAGTAAGAAAATCTTTTCTTCAAACACGATTCACTCGATTCACGGCTATTCCAATCTTACGAAGAAATTCTA